GACTCTCAACTTCCAATCAATATTTTGTATCAGGCTGGGTGCGGTCACTCATGCCTGTAATCCCAGCGCTTTGGGGGACCGAGATGGGTAGGTGGCTTGAGCCCAGGAGTTCAAGACCAGTCTTGGCAACATAGCAAGACCCTGTCTCTTCCAATAACAACAACAAAAAATTAGCCAGGCTTGGTGGCATGTGTTTATAGTCCCAGTTACTTGGGAGGCTGAGGTAGGAGGATTGCTTGAGCCTAGGAAGTCAAGGCTGTAGTGAGCTTATTTTGCCATTGCACTGGGCACATGCGAGACCCTGACTAAAAAAAAAAAAAAAAATAGTTTGAAGCATTAAAAATAAACAGCTTGAGGGCCATTTCAAAAAGATAACTAAGAAATATTTTTTGAATAAGTGCTGAGATTTCTTACTAATTTTACCAGTCCCCAATTCTGACAAATTAAAGACAGAAATAAGATCTTATAGACAAGATCTTGTGTTATTTGTTTAAACTTTTAATTCACAAAACACAGTGGACAGTATTTCTGTCTACTTATGTTGTTTCCATACTTTAGCAAATACCAACATGATACAACACATATCCTTGTATTATATTATTGTGCATGTTTTATATTAATTATATATCACTTCTGTATTCACACATGCGCACGTGTATATATAATACACAAATCATTATCATCTGTCAATCTATTTCTAGACATTGGGGTCAGTTTTTAGAAGTGGAATTACTAGGTTAAAGGATATGTTTATTTATAATTAAAAATAGTATTACATTGCCCTTTATTGACTTGATTATCAATTAATACTACCTCAACTAGAAATAAAAAAGAATGATACTGTTTTCCTTATATACTTGATAAGATAGTGGATTGTCAAATTTCATTTTTCCCATCCATTGCGTCATTGTTTTAAATAACATTTCTTTAATTATAAATGCTCATGAGAATCTTTTTGATAAGTTCAAAAGCTACTTATTATATTTTCTTCTTTGTTCTTTGGGCCCTCTTCCCATATCCTGACAGAACTTTCAATAGAGGTTTTTAGTCTTTTCTTGGTTTTCTTTTCCTAGCAAACTTCGTAAAATATGCAGGATCTGACTATTGTCAGTGGTAGGTATTGCTCTTAATACTTCCATACCAATGGACTGTGCCTACACTTGGTATTATCATTTAAGTAAGATAATGTACCAATTTATTGCTACATCTGCTTTCATTGTAAACCCATAATTACATTTAAATCTTTCTGGCTAGGAATTGTTGATTTTTGAAAGCCAATATGATGCCTATTCTGAAGAGAATTGTATCAAAGGCCTCTCTAGTTTTTATCACTGAACAAATGTTGCCATAATGTTTTTGCAGCATGCATTTATATCATGATCACTACCAGACATAGCCTCAGTCTATCATTGTAGGAGACGTTTTAATTTGATTTTCCTATGGATTATTCCATATAGAGATTAGAATTCAAGAGCATACCAAAATTAATTTTAAGGGTCATTTATATAAGTCTCCAATTATAATCCTGTCCACTATACCTCCTTCTACAGCCAGGATACTTTTCTACTCGCCTTATTTTATAAACCATTTCTTCCCCCCATAGATAGTAAGGTAGTGTCATCAGAAGAAAAGGCCTATACCCTTTGGGAAACAAATCGTACAACGTGATAAACATTAAAAATAACCCCCTGCCAGCAGACAAATATTGTAAACGCGTGAACCTTTTATAAAGATAAATTATGAAAGGGTACAGTTATACTTCAGCTGTCAGCATAGCCGCTGGAGGGTCACTGGGGATGTGGTGTGACAGGATTCTCACTAAACGCACTGTGTTTATAAAAGACTGGGACACAGGTCCACGCTATCCACTGAGACGCTGACTTTCCCTCTGTAGTACTTTCTGGCTGACTCTGATTTTGAAATTCTTTTTACCTCTCAAGGAAATCAAGACATTGTTTTCGACAAGAAATGGATTTTAAATGGTCTATTAAAGTATTTACATGGTTGCTGAATGTCCTGTTCTATTGTTTCAAAGCAAATTAAGGGAATTTGGAAGCACTTTGAATTGTTACTCTATTCTGTTTTTTCCATTTTATTTTTGCTCTGAAGCACATAGTATATAATTTGATTATTACTAACATCATAAAATCATTTAATGTTATTTAAGACTGAATAGTATAATCAGACTGCTTTTATATCCTGGATCAAAGGCTTTTTAGGAATTTGAAATTGTCCTTTGCTTAATTTTCCAGTATTCCAAGCACTCTTGCCTACTCCCCCTGGAATAATTTCCCATTAATTTAATTCACTTAAATTACAATTGAGTGAAAACTACAATCGAATTATGTCTTTTACGGACCCTGTTTTCAATACAGTTTTATAAATTCCAGAGCCCACATCTTACTGGAGTATCCTTAGGTATTTAATGTCACTCCTCTATGATACCAGTCTCAGTTACTGTTTTTCTTTCTTCAACTGCTCTGTTACTGTTCTGTTCTTGTTAGCATTGTGCATTCTAAGTGTTTAGAGTAATATATATCTGGCTAGTGAAATCAATATAAGATATATTTATGAGAGTAGAGTACCGACAGCTTTAAGCTATGGATGAGTTAGTTGGTTTTTTAACCCTAGTGGCCACTTCATAATTAATCCGCTATTTATTATTATCTACTCTTTAGTCATAAACCTTGCACTTCACTAATTCTTTTGTTCATTTATTCACCCAAAAGGAAATCATAATTCTTACTGTGTGTTGGGTATTATTCCAGGCAAGAAACAAAATAAAGACCTGGCCTCTCTCATTGTGTGGGAGAGAGAAAAAACAACAGGGAGATATGTAATATCAGGTTCCATGAAGAAAACAAAAGAAGGTCAGGAAAATAGAGAGTGGTGGGATAGTCAAGGAAGGCTTCTCAGAGGGGTGGCATTTGAGCAGAGACTTGCACGAAGTGGGGGAGCAGCCATGCCTATATCAAGGGGAAGTTTCTAGGTAGAGGTAGTAAAAATGTCAAAGCTCTGAGGAGAATGTGTAGTTTAACAGAAGGTTGGGCTCCAGCTTTATCACTTCCAGCCACACTGTGCTCAAGGGTGAGCATGAGTGGGAATGTGCATGCATAGGGGCTAGTTAGGATAGAGAGAGAATATCCAGCTTCACAACAGGCAGGGGGACAGTGAAGTGGCCACAGCCATGGTGGCGGAACCCCTGCCTGAGATGACCAAAAAAAAAAAAAAGATTGTGGGGAAATAGAATCCCCAAATTTATTTTTCCTTCTTTACAGAAAAGTTAAAATTTAGGGCCAGGTGCAGTGGGTCATGCCTCGCCAAGGTGGGCAGATCATGAGGTCAGGAGATAGAGACCATCCTGGCTAACACAGTGAAAACCCCTCGCTACTAAACGTACAAAATAATAGCCAGGTGTGGTGGCACACGCCTGCAGTCCTGGAGAGTGAGGTAGGAGAATCACTTGAACCCGGGAGGTGGAGGTTGCAGTGAACCAAGATTGCACCACTGTACTCAAGCCTGGGCAACAGAATGAGACTCTGTCTCAAAAGATAATAAAATAAAAATTAGTTGATGGCCTAAAATTAACAACCATATTGGCATCATCATAATTGCCATTTGAAAATTATATGTAATAGAAGATCAAGTCCAAATAGCCAGACATATATGAAATGATGAAAAGCTGCTCAAATGTGCTACTAGTCAAGGAGATGAAAGCAATGAGAGGGATTGATGTTTTGATTAGCCTGGATTGGAACTTTGATAACTCTGATACTTTGATAACTCTTATTGTTATCAAAAAGCCATGGGATTTGTCTTAGGTGGTGCCAAAGACAGGATGAAGGACATTTTATAGTGTCAGAAAACATAATAGGAAAAAAAAAATGAAGCTGTTTCCTAATTGTATCTACTAAATTCACCCATTTCTCTCTCTCTCTCTCTCTCTCTCTCATATCTCACTCCCCACTATCATATTTATAATGTCATATGATCAAGGAGAAAAATATGAGAGGATACATATCAAATTGTTAAGTTAACTTGGCTGGGAGATGATATGGAAGAAGGTGAAAGGGGGAAGGGAAGTCACATAAAAGTACTGCAATATCAGAAAGTCTGACTACATTTATGCATTTTTGTATGCGTACAATATCTTTTCAGAGTAACTGACACTGATGGGGGGTATAAATTGAAGTGTGTGTGTTGTGGAATATATACAGACTTTAATGAAAGAATCACTAGGGACACAGAAGCAGCAAAAATAAAATGTAGACTAGTCATATTCATATTTGTGTTTGTAGGGCATAAATTGGAATTGCAAAATAAAAAACGAAGTTAGCTATTTGACTATGAAAGTCCAGATATCTAGAAAAAAATCTGTGTGATACTTTGAAAAATTTTTTCACCTAGTTTCACTTGTAATGAGTAATGCAGAAAATAAAAAGACTGGAAATTATCATTTTTCCATCAAGCATGTAGGCTAGCGACATGTTCTGAGTGGTTCACAGATTGAGGGCTTAGATGGTTCCCTACTTATATTTTAGCAAATGGCTATTTCAGAAAGTGTTTTAACTGCAAACTACCCCAGAAGTAACTTGTCTAAGTTGTGTGTCCCTTCCTGAATTTGTTAAGGCGTGAGCTTCTGCTTTGACTTTTAGGTCTGGTTTTTTGTAGGTAGACACAGGGACAAGAGACAGCGAGGGGTGTGCCTTACGACTGACTGGGTGGGAAGAGCTGTACTCTGTTGTAGAGTTTCCCCATCCTCTGCTGCTGCCATTTTTGAACTGACTGGAGACCAGGAGGTCTTTTGTCCATGATTCACCTGGTGGCCTCAGCCAACTTTCAAAGTAAAAGTTGCATTTCTTGAACTTTTCAAATTGGAGTTGTTATACGACCCAGGAAAGGGCAATACAGTAGGTAAAAGATTTAGGTATTCACTGGAAAAAAACTTTAATCCATATTTAAGAAGCAATTGGTGCAAATCAAAACACGGATACACATGATTAGAATGAAAATGATTTCCGTATTTATGTTTGTCAGCAATATAGTTATTTACAAATAACCCATATGAAAATGTAAAAAAGCATATTACATCTTCACATGCCATCTGTATTGACTGAATAAAGCTTAGTGACATTATTTGCAAATCTGTAGTTAATTGTATATAGACATTTTGTGCGTTAAAAAGGAAATGTACATAATGTAAAATAAATTACATTACACAATTTACAAAGTAATATTAACAAAAATTCTTAGACAGCTGCCTCCTTATTTAAACAAAATAAATATTCAGGTAGTTAACATAAAATACACATTCAGGGAATAATAATTTATAGAAAGACATTGCAAATTTAATAAAGTTATATTTTACAATGATAGATACTGATCTCTTCAAATCTCTGTGATAGAAATGGAGAAAAAAGTACCAGAAAAGGAATCTAAATGTTTACTTTCTAAAAATAAACACAAACAGATTTCTGAAAAATAGTTGGGAAAAGTTTACTGAGGGTAAAAGTAGGTAATCTAGAAACTATGGCTTAAAAACAGAATAAATCTACAAAACACAAGACTGACAATTATATTCTAAATAATATAGAGATTTTTGATCACTGAAAACATGACTCACACAAACTAAATCTCTTCATATACTGCCCACTTTTAAGATCTGACTTGGTAGAAACATACAAAAAAATGCAAAATTAACTGGTTAGCATTAGTTTTATTCATTTAATAATGTAGACATAACCATTTTTCAGTGTCCCTGCTAGATATAAGATTATCATTAACACACTGCAAACCATCCTTTTTATAAAAGGATAACTACTTGCTTGGCTCACACACCAGTTTCTGATACCTGAAATCCTGTCCTGCAGCCAGGACCGCCTGAGGGCAGGACCAGGGGAGACTCTTATTCCCAGAACAGGCAGATGTAGTTCTCACAACTAAACTAGTCCCAGGAAAGATCACATTCCGACAAGATTCCTCACAGATTTGCTCAAGGACAACTATTCTTTCAACACCCTCAATTTTTGAGCAGAAATAGAAGAACCCACACTTGAATTTGGTAATATTTTCATAAACAGGAGATCCCAGATCATTTGGGAATTGTGCTTCTCATGTACTGTACAGACCCACGTCAGCTTTAGAACAGGTTCTCCCTTCTGTATGGTACTGAAAAGTACGGGCCTTCCTCACTGTCTTGTGGTGTGGAATATGAACAAAGAAAGACTCGAGATGGAGACAGGAGGATATGGGGTGATCTAAAGCAAGTGTAGGCATGGACATTTTTACAGAAAAGGGTTTGTTTTTTTTTTTTCCCTACATGCCTTCCACATTTTTCCTTTTCCCTTTATTCATTTCTTTGACCAGTGGATTTGGTGTAAGTCAGGATGTTCACACTGAGTGAGTGACACTTAGATTCTAATACGGAAGGACATATAGGAATTCTCTCTCTCTTTTTTTTTAATTAAAAAATTGGGCATGTTTGGTGGGAAGTAGGTAAGAATAGCTGTTGAGAGTAGAAAGAGACCAAGCAAAGAAAATAATCAGAAAGAACCAAATATACAGGTTGTTGGGGGAGGTAAATAAATGTGTGAGAGGTCTATTCAATTCCTGTGAGAAGGAAGACATGAATGTATCTTGAAATGCCCAGGAACTTAACAGGGGTCTGATTAAGTTACAGTGACCACTGCCACCTACCTGAGGGTGGGGCAGGGAAAAATCAAACTCCTAATACCATGGCCTAAAGGCATGTATATTACATATGGGAAAATACTAACCCCCTCTAAAAACAAACCTAGAGTAAAAGTCAACAGGTTTCAGTGTTATCTTCACTCATTAGGCATTTTTCCCTTCTTTTGGATGTCTTAAGTACCTATGTATACAAAAGCCGTTACTAACTTTTGTTTTTTACAGTGCCTAGCAGAGTCTTACGTGTCAATAAATATTTGCCTTGTTAGAAGTAATTTGTGCTTTGTTATAAGTAATTAAAACATGCTTTTATGCACTCTTTTTTAATTCACTTAAGCTACACTGTAGTGTCCTCAAAAAAGCCTTTGAATAAGATTACAGTCCATATATTGGATTAGGTATTGATGAATAAGCAAATCAGCCCCTTTCAAAAGAGATCAGTTAGTTCTATTCTACATGGTTTCTAGTGAAATAGTCCGGCAAACTCATATACTACTGTCAAACTTTCTCTGCTCTTTTTAAAAAAAACCAAACAGACCTTCATTCTAGGGAACAGCAGTTCTACATCTTTTTGGCCTCACAGACCACTTCGGTAAGGTTGAAAGTGTCAATAGAGAAATTACTACTATATTCCCCTCCCAAATTTTTAGAAGGAACAGGAAAAATAAGGTTTTGATGAAATTCCAATAAAATATTTAACTCATTGTCTCATGCCAGAAACAAAAATAAGGCCATTTTCATGTTATAAACATGAATATAGTAACCTTCCATTTGTCCAAAATAGCCAGATTGCTACATTCTCCTCTTTCCACCTTTCTAACAAGAGGTTATCCAGTATTTATTTATCCTAACAGTGATCTTCCAATATGTTCTCTATTAGGTCAAGTTGAACCTAATTTCCCCTGTCTCATATAATTTTGTGTGTATATGTGTGTGTGTATATATATACACACATACACACATATATACACACATATGCTGTAAAATCTAATCAATTTATGAATAAAATGTCTTGTATTTTTCATAACATTCTATAATTTTGATTTTCTAATTCTTATAGATAGGATGATACTAATCTTTTCTGAATTAGTGACATTTTACAATATCTTCAGTATAGCTTTAGTAGGTATTCTATCCCACATTTAAAAATTATTAGGTGTTGCAACATTTTATAAGAGGGTTAGCTGAATTTTTCAAGTAACCATAATAGATTCTCTCTTAACCATTTTGGACAAATGGATTTTATTTTATTCAAAGAGATCAACTTTAGGATTATTTGGAAGACCCCTGAGTATATACATAGACAATCACAGTTTTAGAGTAACAATATTATTTTTTCTTCCTCTTTAATAAAACAGATAAAATGGATTTTGTTTTTATGGTTTTAAATCCTTGATTTAAAGTAAAATTTTCATCTTCCTACCTGTTCTTTTTGCAATGATTTACATTTCCTAATATAGTGAATATTGAATAAGGAATTAGCGCTTACTGCATTTAGTTCTTATTGAAATACATACAAATATTTTCATTTTGGGGACAACGACATCCTAACCTGATGTCTTTTGTAATCTTTGCAAACACTCTGATGAACAGCAGGGGGAGTTCATACTCCAGTATGAGGGTAAAATACCTTCTAATCCAAAACACTTTTACAGGAACACAGCTGTTTAAGATAAAATAGCATGTTATACTATTTTTCAAAGAACCTGAAAAGCTAGTGTCCTCCTCTCTCACAAAGGTTGTTGTAATAATGTTGCCTGAAAATGGTATTGCTTTTTAATGGCACCTTTTGAGTTTTCCTTTCATTTGCAAGAAGTCTGCTGAGTTAAATATTGTTCCACTGTGCCATTCCCAGGGCTACATCTGTAGAAAATATAGCTACTTTTGGTACAGTGGGAAATGTAATGACTGTAAAGTCTCACCTTTTAACATTGAACAGTCAGTGGGTAAATGAATGAAAACGAAAGATGACACTATGGAGAGTTAGCATTAAAAAACATCCAGACCAGGGGTCAGCAAAATATGACCTGCCAAGGTGCCCTACTCGCTGTTTCTGTAAGGAAAGTTATATGGGAAAGCAGTTATGTTCATTCTTTTATTTACTAAGATCGCATTAGCAGAATGGCAAAGTTGAGAAGTTGCAACGTAGACCTTTTGGAAAATATTTTCTGTATAGTCCTTTACAGAAAAAGTTTGCCACTCTTGGTCTAGATATGTAATGAAGTCTTGGGCAAGATATTTATTTCTCTTTTAAAATTTTAGTTTTGAAATCATGCATGGAAGAGATTGCTTCAAATTTTGCCAGTGAGAAAGGCAAAAGACTATGGATCTTGAAATACTGCCTGAAACTAGGAAATCAAATTAGAGAGAAGGAAAAATCAACATATAATTTTGATTTCCTTTAGTTACAAAAGTCATTGATACATTATTTTCTCCATCTGCTCAAAATTAAAAAGACAACCAGTTCCTTTTTTTCTTTTTTCTTTTCTTAACAAAGATAACAAATATAAAAATCTAGTCATAAACAGCCTTCAAAGACCAATTACAAACCAACTAGAGGAATCCACCTTTTAGAGGGTTAAGGGGTTAGGGACTTCAACACTTAAATTACCGCCATGTTGTCAGTTTCACAATGGCTGCAGTGATGAGGAAGTGTGTGTACAGCAGGTGTAATAGCTGATTTCATCTTGCTACCATCCAAACTGAACTTTTCTCTCTTCAGGATACAAGAACTTGCAAATGTCTTCATGACACTCTTGGCACAGATGTCTTCATCCCATATGAAAAGAGGCAGTTTCTATGGCAATACTGGTTAAGCGCCTATCATGCTGCACTAATATAGTGCAAAAATGTGCCTTCCATATAGCAAAAAAGATGCAGGCAACCAGTTTGAAAATCAGGGAAAGTAGAAATGTATTGTATTAACACAAGTAAATTAGTTTTCCAGACAATTACCACTATAAAATACTGAACTTGAGGACTCTTCCTTCTAAGACACTAGTACTTGTCCAGCATTCTTACTTTGGAGAGAGACGAGAATGAAGTCTTAAAAAAGAGGCTCCGTCTCTAAAATGCAGGTCAATAAAATCTACCATTGACCACCAAGATGCTGAATTTATTCAATGGATTTTCTGCTTAGCTTAGAGCTTATATGTTATGCATTGTTAAAATTGCTTATTAGCAAGTACATAATCTGACATAATGTGTATCATTCAACTGAGTACACATGTTAATTTGACTATAGTATTGTGGAGATCTTGGTAGAAACTCTTCATGCTAGGAAGTTTTATGGATTAACACTGCAGACAATCTTGTATCAGGCATCCTAACTGGCCAATTCCACCATTATTTTTTAGAGATGAAAATGGTTTTTCAGTTGGTAGACTTCAGAAAAGATGACATAAAACTTTCAGAATGCAGCATGTATTCAGCTAAATCTCCTATAATTCTCATGGTTGATGGTCTCTATGTAAGTGGTACTGTCTGGAATATCTCCAGTGGCAGTATGATTTTCACTCTTGTCTTTATGATGCCCTTTTTAAAAATTAAAATATATTTTAATCCACACAGTTTGGATACATTTGTTGTGACCTCTGGACATCTATGAAGTCAGAAATCCAAGACTGGTTGTTGCCAGAAAAGTTATATGTTACATGTCAGCATCTCCATCATAGGCTAAGGTTAAAGGTTTCAGTCGGTTGTTTTGCCTTCTTTGGGGTTTCTTTGGCTTTTTGCTGTAAAACAGTTCATTAAAATTTGGAGAAAGAAAATCAGTTTCTAATTGTAAATTTGATTGCTTTAAGCAAAAAAAAGTAAAAACAAATTGATAAACCAAAATTGCCTCATTGCTTGCATTGCCTAAAGTCTACCTTAGAATTTGATTTTCTGATCTCCTTGAATTTCAGTTTTTGCTTTGAATAAACTCTAAGTAAGCTTCAAATGTTTTACTATCCTACAAAAGATAAATTATCCAAGTGGGATTCTTTTAGTATTGACAATAGAAATAATATCATAGTGGGGTCATTTTCATTTGGTCAGAAACCTTTATAAATAATGCATAATTTATAAATAATGCATGTTTTAAAAGATAGTTGAATAAGATTAGGTATTACTGTAATATCTTCCTCCATTAGTAATTCAATATAAAAATCCACAGTTTGCCATAATCAGTACAAAGCAATATTCTCTTGAAAGTATGCAAGAGAACACACTCGAGAAGATGACCCACAGCAAGTTCTTGCTCATCTTTAGAAATGAAATGGTTCAGATTTGGTAGCTTTTAGCCCATCTAGGACTAAAGCCATGTTTATTTAGAAATTCATGTGAACACCAGATGGATGTAGAGAACTTATTTGAGACATTAGTTTGCTGTTTCTGTGTTACGATTAAGTATCTCTTTGGATTTTTAATTATTTAAACACTCACCAAGCTAGATAAATCATGGAGACAATAAAGATGAGTAACACAAATGCCCCAGCTGCTACGCCGTAAACCCAGGTCTTTAGTCTCCCATCTAAGAAGAATAGATATTAGTTATTAATTTACATTAATCTGGTATACATGAGGCAGTCTTTAACGATGACCAATGATCAGTCACACATGACCAATTTCTTTCAAAACCCAAAAAGAATTATTGCTTCAGCACAGTTAATGATTAATGCAAAGCTGCTGTTATGGGTTAGATACTGCTTCATTAAAGAGAAATTATCATGGAAAATTGAATTGAAAAGTTATAAATGTTTGACTTCAGATTTCAAATTTCTTTGTCAAAACTTCAGCTGCCTTTCATCTCAATCTTACTTCAAACTCAATACATGTGTAATGCTATATAAACATTTTCTTCTGATTTTCAATCTATTTTGAGAATTGCAATGATAAGATGAAAAATGCAATTTTAAGAAAGTTTCTACAACCTCAAGTTAACGCAGATAGGTATTTAAACAAAAATTTTGTCATTTTTATTCCAGGTAAAATGAAAGTGAACATATTTAACATCTTATGGAATTAATAATCTTTTATCTAGTCTGCACTTACAATGTGTTTTAAAATTGGCTGACAATGTCATTTACAAAAACAACTAGTTTGGTTAACATATAAAAGGATCTATAAATTGTTTTCTACCTTTTCTATTATATGGAATCAGACATAACAGGAACTTTTATAATTTGGGTTTCTGGTCTCATCTTCTTTGAACTCCTCAATTTTATGCTCTGAATAAACTTCAAGCACAAGATGTTATTAATGACATTGGCCGATTTAATTTGATCCTCACATCAACATATATTTTCTATTGCAGTTAAGTATTTGATCTTAGTGTTAAATTATAGATTGGGCAAAATAGATTGGGCAAAACTGACCTCACGTAGACTCTGGTTTATTCAATATTTGAAAGGCATCAAATGCGAATTGGTACTGTGGAATTTTTTCGCCTGGAGTTAGATCAAATTAGAAGTTCATTTGCTGGGAATAAACTCAATAAATATTCTAAATATCATTTCTTTCTAATCCTAAAGATTTTTTTTTTAATTTGAGTTCAGTTTAGAATCAAAAGAACCATTCCACGGTTGAGGTTCTCTACGTTGAGAGTTTCTTCAACAAATTTTTTTGGGTTTTTCAAAATCAAAGAATATCTAAGTTTTCAGAACATGTACCTTCTAAATATATTAAAATGTTCACTTTGGGGAAACTATATATAAAATTTAAAATAATGACAATAACAATCTTTTGGGGAAAAAAAAAAAGGACTGGTTTTGATCTGAGGAGATCTGCTTCAATTCTTAGTAAAGGTCAAAATTGCTACTGGTTGTCTGCTAGTCCATTGTGTTGAACACTAAGGGAAGAGTTTCCCATGCTTACACAGATGAGTCAGCTTTGCACAATAAATTGTACTATCAGCCAAATAAGCCAATTAAAGCAGGAATCATGTGATTAAAAGCAAATCTCCCAAACATTTAAAATATCTTAAAAATCCAACATTTATTCTCCAATAAGGTAAAGTATTCAGACTTAATGCACAGAAATGGAGATGTGCTGGCTATGCAGATTCCTTCCATCCTTTCTCATGTTTCTAATGGCATTTTAAAGTAGACTATGCCTGGCTCTGACTGGAGATTTCCTTTGCTTCATGGACTAGTAGTTCCTCCAGGGTATGAGAAAAAGTGGCATGATATTATTGGCTGCTTTATAAACCATGTAGCACATTTTCAAGCACCAGGTTAGTTCTAGGAATGAGCATATGATTAAATCCAACTGAGGGAAAGTGTGTAGAGTAGAGAATAGCATATCATGAGGTCTTCAAGCATTTTCCTGTATTGGCTTTGCATTTATTACCAGATACATTAAGAGCTGTCTGTGAATGTGAAAAAATATTTGAATCATCCCATCCAGAAGGGAAGGCTCCACTGTTGCCCCTGTGTATATGGCACTAGTACAGATCTGAGTATTTGAGTATGCTGATTTTTAGGGCTGATACAAACTGGTCCATCTACCACGTGCCCCCTGGCACAGAACTGCATTCCTGATGTTTTTATTTATGGGTCAAACTATTACTGTTCCTATGATCAAATTAAAAATTCTGGAATGCCTTTATAGTCTCCTTTATCTTAGTTCTGAATGACAACACATTTTTTAAAAATTCATGTTTCCATCTTTGTTCAATTTGAAATTAATTATACTTGTAATTTTTGGACTGGAATTGAACTGAATCATATTGATCCAAAATTTTTTCTCAGAAGTAATTTCATTTCTCTGAACTTCAAACATGAGTTATTTTCCTTAATGATAGTAAAAAATTTAAGAATAGATGGCACTATCAGAATAAATGCATGTAGATAAAATAATCAATAGCTCATATAAAAATGCTTGCTCACTTTTTAATTCTTTGGCATTGCCTAAATGTATAACTAATGGTTTCTACTTCAACACTAGTCTAGTCAGTTCACCTGGCCCAAATGGCTGCAGAAACCAGGTCCTTCCCCGTCCTGCTGGGTTACTGGAGGGTTGGGTTGGATGTACAGCCCGACTGGTTTTCACATCTCCTCTTTTGTCCTCCACGGTGGGTATTACCACCACGGGGATAAGTGTGCATTGCTCAAGGGTGCTGTTAGAAGACATGACTTCAGTGTACCCTTCTTCACAATGGCATGTTTTTGTCTGCAGGAGAACAAGAAGATTTACACTAGCCATGCAAGGAATCTTTGAAAGTCTAACAGACCGGACTTGAAGAGAAGGCTTTAAACAAGGTTTGTTTTGGGAATTACTATATGTAATTCCTGTGATATTTTTAACTACATAGAAACATACTTTTGGCATTATATATAAATGTATTCTAAAGGTGAAAGCAAGTGAATTCAGGACTTTTTAGATTGATAAAAGGAGATGTCTAAAATGGGATTTTTATGCCTCAAGACATGCTTTGTTTGGAGGGAGATGAAACTGCACAAGAGACAGTGGGGTGACAAATGATGGAGCTGGCTTGTCTGCCCTGACGAATTTACACATACCTCGCTACAGTACGAGTGGGGTTGACTACACGGTGGGTTACAAGACCTGTCGGCATCAGGCTGGCTCATCACCAAGCAGCCCCCTGCAGAACAGAAAATCATGTTTTGACAAATAATATGTCTTGTTATGATGAAAATACACTATTGTTAGTGACTTGTCTTTGAATCCTGAACTACCTTGGGAATTCCAGGAATTTTTCTGTCAGTGGTTGACTGTGAAATATTTGGTTAACCTTAACCACCTTATTTAGTGATTCCAGCCCCTTCTTACCCAGGGGAGCTAGCTCAGTGCCTGGTACTCAGCAGGTGTTCAACAAGCGTTTGTTGAAATAATTATTTTATAGCTGCTATTTTGAAAATACTAATTGCACACAACCTTTTTCTGCCAGGAGCACATGAAGCCAAGTCCAGCAACTGAAAAGCTGATTTCATTTCCTTTTCAAGTAAAACGATAGTTTTCATGTCTTTAGAAATAACTCTTTAGCTCTTTATGTTAAATAAATGTTTTCTTTAAATAATGCATATTTCTTTTTTAGAAAAATCACAATTTCTGCTAATTCAGGGTGTTTTTTGGATATAGTGAAGAAAACAAATGTATCTACTAAATCATTTATTTTGCACTATGGTTTATTACAGCTGTTTATCTCTCTCTTGTTTATTTTCAAGTGTAGTACCAACTGTGCCTAAGTTGTTTCAAGTGAGGTTTTAAATGGAAATAGATATAAAAAACATTGGTGACATGAAGGAGACTCATATTTTCAAACTATACTTGTTCAGTTTAACATAATATTAGCAAAATAAAATTTTTTCTTTGTTTATGGAACTGATGATTCTCTGGAATTTAATCACAGGTGCCTATTGCCAATTCTTTGTGTTTCTCTCTGTTGCAATCACAAAATACAGAAAAATTGTCACAGAAAAGCAGTTAGTCATTGCAAGGCAACTGCAGTTAATTGGCCACATTGAAGTTGTTATCATTAAACACACACACACAAAGCAATATTTTGAGTTTCTTATAAGGACAATTCATAAATTAAAGCAATTGATCAAGATAGGTAATATACTTTACATGCTTGTCTATTTGTCATAATCTCATCTCTCCTAAAAGATGAAAGAATGCATATAGAGTTTAACACACATCATTTACACATTGGCCTTTTGGTACTGAATAGCATTAGAAATAATCCATTGGACACTTTGCTGAATTGAAAAGAAATTAAAAGTAATGATTTTATAGGTAAGTCGTTTAAAATTTGACTTACCTTTGCATTGGGGGAATAGCCCCAATTGCAGTGGAAAAAGAGTTTTTAATATATGGAAGAAAAGTCAGGTAAATATTATTTGCATCAAAAAATTGCAAACCTATAGGATCATCTAGAGAAGCTGTTAGAATGGAGACATTTATTTCCAATCTCTGAGCTGAATGGATGACTTCTGTAACAACAACTCATTCAGAAAGCCTGTCTATCCCTGTCCAGGACTCTTCTCACTCCATACCTCTTAGAGTGGGGTAGATGGAGAATACAGTGAGAGAGCAAAGGGTTTCTACTAGATGTCTTTTCTTTGTTATATATGTGACCACAGGGAGTTATTAAGGATTTCTTGAGAGAGCTTTCTCATGTATAAAATCATATCTTCAAAAGAAAAAAAATTGACATCCTGATCCAGCTCCCATACAGAGGAAATAAATAATTGGGTTTCAATAAATCCAGGTAATTTAAAATTCAATATAAAGATGGATAGTTTTCAAAAATCATATTGATCCTTGCTCCTGTTTCTTACTGTATATATTAAAGTGAAATTTATAAATGAACATTACTCAGAGGCATCCAAATGTACACTGTATTTTTCCCCCACAGCAGGGTCAAAACACAGCAGCAAGTCAGCCTGAGCAGTTAACTGTCAAGACTCCTGCTGTTGCTATGCAATGGCAATTCCTGTAAGTTATATTTATAAAAAGAAATTGTTTATGGAAAGGCTTAGATTTCTGGGTCCATGTGCCTGAAATTAAGGTTCTGGTTCTGACTTGTATTTCTTTCTAGGAAATTTGCTTGGTTGTTCACTACCTATCTTGAGCCAAAGTCTTTTCCTCCTTCAAGGGGTCCTTGGGATCCCTCATGCTTGCTTACAGGCTTCAGATAGGCTTTTAGTAATTGCACACTAGAGTAGTTCTTTGGAGGCATATATTGGTCGAAGTACAATCAAAAAAATTTCTTCCTTTGGATTTCTTCTTTGGATATATAATAATTTGGGGATGCGGGCGCAGTAGATGAGCTGCTCAGATGGTCTGGGTTTGAAATTTACCAGTAGGTCTTCTCTATTAATTAGTTTAAAAATCTCTAAATCATAGACATCTGAATTTAAGCAAGATATTT